GCCGCCATCCCGAGGTAGGACCGGGCTAGAAGGCGGCGGCGGGCCTGCCCGCGACCCCGCAGCCACGCGGGCTGCGCTTTCCCCCAGGGCCTCGGCCGCCTTCGCCCCTCGGGTGGTCGCCCTCTGGGTGTCGTGGCGGCGACGCCTGCGCCTTGCTCAGTGTCTCTAGCCATCCGCCCCCACCATCTTGGCTTAAGGAGCTTTGCGTAGCCCGCCTGCTCAGGAGATCTGGGAATGCGGAAGGCGGAGGACGCCTTCCGTTTCCAGACGCGCCTGCTCCCTCGTCTGAGGCCTGTGGGACGAGTCGGCCTGGTCTGCGGGCTCCGCACCCTGTGTGGTTGTGGTTGACAGAGTGGTTTTGTTTCATGTTCCAAAAAAAAAAAACAAACTTACTGTCCTGGAGTCTGACCCGACTCAAAGCGACCCCTCCTGGGGTTTGCGAGGTGCTGTCTCCACGGAAGCAGGTTGCCCAACCTTCCTTCCGAGGAGCTGCTGGTGGGTTTGAACCGCCAGCCTTCTGGTGAGCAGTCATGTGCCTCAGACACGAGATCGTTCATCCTCACTTTTCCTCAGATGGTTTCCTTGTCGCATTTATGTTTTGTCGTCGGTCAGCGTGTCCACAGCAGGGCATTCACCAGTCGGCAGTTGGGGCAGGGACCATCAGTGGCGTCGCTTCTGGTCATTATCCCGTCCTTCTCCGAGTGGGCCCTCCCCCGTTGGCATCAACCCCCTGCGCCGTCAGGGGGCCTGTTTTTCCAAGTTAGTCTTGGTCACTTACTCCATGGGATCCTGCCTTTAGGCCCAGACTGTGGCTCAGGTTTTCAAACCTTGCTCCAGGCCGTTCTCTTTCCTGGGGCCTTCGGTAAATGTTCCTTGGAGGCAGTTAGGGGGGACATAGACTCACTGTGCAGCTGTAAAGTGGCCGTTTAGTTCAGAATTTTGCGACCTTTCCTTTCCTTGAGTGACTGTGAGTGCTCTTGTAGACCACTGCCCCTCCTTACTGCCACCCATGTCTCCCCAGAACTAATCAGCAAAGAGCATTGTTTCTAAATGACTTGTTGGGATTTTGGAAGTAATTACTGGTCCTGTCAGAAGGCAAAATTGTAGCTTTAAATGTCATTTGAATCTCTAAGGACTAGTTTTTAGAATTTCCAGTCCCTGTAGACTGAGACTTTTTGTAAAATCAGTAAAAATGATTTTCCAGAGAAGTGAAATTAAAAAGACAGACAAAAGCCCATTTCAGTGATTAAATTCAACATACGTGAAGTGAAAGGTTCAACTGTACATTCCTGGTGGCACACTGGCAGACAGCGTTGGTCTATGAACTACACTGGAATAGTGCTGGCTTAGAGGACATTCTTCTGGAAATACCTTTTGGAGCCTTAACACGTGTATGTCCAATGCCATGGTTTTGAGCATGTGGTAGGTACTCAAATACAGCTATGTTATTTAGTCCTCACACCAACCCTTTGAGGTTCGTGGCATCTTAGAGATGAGGAAACATTTGGGTCATAAAGTGAGTTGCTCATTTTCACACAGTAAGTGGTTGTGGTAGGCAGAGTCACCCTCCAGCGATAGCCACACTACCTATATCCCTGGAACCTGTGGGTAGGTTAGGATACATGGCAAAAGTGATTTTGCAGATGTAATTAAGTTTGAACCAAGAAACCAAACCCATTGCTGTCGAGTCAATTCCAACTCTTAATGACTACAGAATGAGTAGAACTTCTTCATAGGGTTTCCAAGGCTGAAACCTTTACTGAAGCAGACCACCACATCTTTCTCCTGTGGAGCAACTGGTAGGTTCCAACCAACAACCGTTCAGTTAGCAGCCTTAACCACTGTATCACTGCACTCCTGTAGTTAAGGTGGCTGTTGTCGTTAGGTGCCTTTGAGTCGGTTCTGACTTACAGTGACCCTGTGTGAGGGTGTTTCTGTGCAGCCACTGTGTACGTCCATCTTGTTGAGGGGCTTCGTCTTTTTCACTGACCCCCTACTTTACTAAGCATGATACCCTTCTCTAGGGACCGATCCTTCCTAATAACATGACAAAGTCTGAGAGGTGAAGTCTTGAAACCCTAGCTTCCCAGGCACGTTCTAGCTGTACTTCAACCAAGACAGATCCGTTTGTTCTTCTGGCCATGAATCCAGTTCTGCCACCTTTCAGACCTACCAGTGACTTTAAGCAAACCACTGGGCACATCTGAGGTGGTTACTTCTTATGTACAATGGGAATCTCATCACCTGCTTTAAAAGTGAGGGTTGAACGAGAATGTCCATAGGGTGCTTAGCACAGGGCTTGACCGGTAGAATGACTTCAGTCTCACTGAATGCATCGGGCTGGGTGGTTATAAGGCTGACTTTGAGAACCTACTATATGTTGGGTACAAAGCAGAAGGCTTTAACATGGGTTAATTCATTATTTCTTAATATTCCTTAGCTAACATTGTAGCTACTGTTTGAATATTATTTTTTGTTTATTTAAAAAAAAAAAAAAACCTCACTGCTGTCCAGTTGGATCCAGTTCGCTACCCCTCCTTGGGTTTCTGAGCCTTAAAACTTTCCCAGGAGTCCTCACCCCCATCTGCATTTCCCCGCCCCCTTATATTTTTGACCCTAATTCCTTTGACAGCTTTAGGTACTGGAAACAACCCAATGTAGAAAAACATCCATCTATTAATGTGCAGGACGTTATTCGTGTTAATGTTCTGTTTGATTTGTAAATTGTTTTTCTAGGAAAAAACTGCAGTTTTAAATTACATACATCCATAGTCTCACAGGAAAATGGCTATTAGGTTATGGCTAATGACTGAGAGAAACTCAGAATGGTGGAACTCAATTCATTTTCCTGTTCTCTTTTAAAGTCTGTGCGGTTCATTAACTCCATTGTGGGTAACTTAGAGTGGCAGAGGCGTCATTTTCCTCCTGAACCAGTAGGATGACATAACTGAATGTGGTTTCATCAGTTTTTGTAAGATTTCTGATGGGAGTAGATGAAACTGTTATTTAAAAATAATATTTTAACTTTAATATTAACCAGTCACTTTCTGCCTGCCTGAACATGGAAGGTGGCCCTCTGTGGGAAGCGCTGTGGGCTTGTTCATTTTTTTGTCAGTGTCTGGCAGGTGCCTTGTGGGGAGAAAGACTTGTCTCAGGCCTCTTTGTGGCCTGCGTTTCCTGACCGACATGGTGAGTTACCCACTCTGGTATTGGACTTCGTGGACAGGCTTCTGTTGTCTTCAGAACAAACCTTCTATTCTCATCTCTCCTGAAAACTGTTCGCTCTTTGCCGCATTTGCTGTGTGATAAGCTGTTGCACTTTGGGGCATATACATTTCTCCCACAAACAGTTTCTGCTCTGAGAAGTTTTACAGTAAGTGGAGATTTCACAGCTATGTTAGGAAACCAGATCGAGAGGGAGCAGGAGTGAGGGGTGTCTGTATTTTCGATCCACGTAGGGCTGTGTTCCCAATGACCTTGCCTTATTAAGCCCCAGTCATGTGGCTGCCATTTATGTAATGGCTGGGATTTAAGATCAAGTGAGACCAATTCAAAATGGTATATAAGTCAAACGAGAAGGCAGGAAGAAACAGGTCATTTTCTTTTTGAGAGTGTTATTTTGTTCCAATCTTAAATGCTTTCTCTTTTTAGATGAAAGAAAAGCAGTGAGCCTGTTTAAACATATAGACATTAGGTTCCTTGGACTTACCTTTAAGAATGGTTAAGATTCTAGTATTTTATCAAAAAAGTAAATCTGACTAATGAAGCTTCCTACTGTAGTAAACTTTACAGTCTTGTGTTTTATAGTTTAATAGTTTGCTGTCTTAAACTAGCAGTGTAACACAAGTATCAGTTACACGTTTGCATTGGTTTTTGAGAGTAGCAGCTACTGATATTGTTAAACGAACCCATTTTTCCTGATAAAATACAAAACTCTGTTTCCCTCCCCCCCTTAATGTTACTTGAGATTAAAAATATTGTGATGAAAAATGCATCAGAGCTTTGGGATGAAGCATGGCTTTGTTTGCATGCTGCACATTATTTCCTCCCTCACTGTCCTCGTCTCTCCCCCCCTCCACCCCCAAGAATGACCCATCTGGGGATGGTTTCTATGTTACGTTGTAAAGACGGGAGTCATGCACATTCGTACATTTTATTCTATACGTAGCTTCCTTTTTGAGTAAAAGTCAAGATTAATGTCTAATTTTCACACAAAATTTGTCAGATTTCATACTAAATAAATTTACCTTAGTTCCTGTGAGATGTGTTTGAGGTCTAAGAAAATACTTCAAACATTTTTTTCAAAATACTTAGGAAACATCTTAGTTAAAAGCAATGAAAACATAGGGTTTTTAGTGTGATTACAAAAGGAACACTATTTTAAACATGACACACCCACAGGAATTTTAACTTCTGATCTTGCAACAGAGAAAAACATGGAGTCATAGCACTTTTTCTTTTCATATTAAGAGTTTTGATACTAGGATAGTCAGGAGAATGCCTCCGGTTATAAGGGACTTAACTTGAAGGGTAGTAATATGGTAGGTTCCATATTCTGTGTGAGAATGTGGGGAACGTGTTCTTTGTATTTCTGTCTACGTAACTGGAAATAGTGGGTATTTCATCTCTGTCTGAACTCGTGGGACTTGGGCCTGCGCCTCCAGAACGAGCAGAGGTGTTAGCATCCCGTGCTGCCTCCAGCTCCTCTCGCTGACTTCCCTTGTCGGTACTACGGAGGAAGTCTTTCAGAACTTGCTTGAAGATGTAGACGATTTCCCATGGCAAGACATCATTTTCTGCCAAAACTTCTCGAAATCTAGAGGGAAAGCAGTAACGAATCTCTACTTCAGAAACTTTCTCTTGCTGTAGCCCTTTTCCTCCAAAATCTAGCTTAAGCTTCTTACAGTACTTGCCTACCCGTGAGAGATCTGCACTTTGGTTTTAAATTGTGTATCTAGTAATGAAAAGGGAAAAAAAAAAAAATCTTAGCCAGTAAGATACCAGCCTTTGCCACACTCTCCTTAGGGGTTCTGGTTGCTGAGCATTGGCTACATGATTCAAGAGTTCGTGTGCTGGACCACGGTTCCAGTCTGTCCAGGGAACTTGGATCTGGCAGCAGTCAGTCTCACAAGAAAAGAATACAAGGTCTTACCTGCTGAGAATCGGCCCGGTTTGGCAAGGTTGGACTTGGGAGCAGAGAGCTTCAAGTTGTCTTTGTTCAGCAGCTGGGATAGTCGTCTGGGGACTCTGGTAGTTTCTCAGCCAGGTGTAATCCACACCTGTTTTTCTCACTTTCTGTTCATTTTCAATCTCTTGTATTAATCTCTCTCGCTCTTTAAGATGCCATTTTAATTCACGAAGCAGCGTCTTGGTCACCACGTCTGAGCCAGGACAATGTGTAGGTTTGCAGGAGTCATTTTTTGGCCACTTCATCCAGCCAAAAAGTGGCATTTTTAGCCTATGGAAACAATCTCATTTTATTTGCATGAAATGGTATGGTTCTAATGAACAAATGCTGATTTCTTTGCAATAAACTTGCCAGAAAAGTGTGTGAAGTCCTCACCAGTTAGGTATGCAGGTCAAAAGAAATAAGAATAGGACGTGGAACATGGAACTTTTAATTTCTAACTAGGTCAGTGCCAGAAAAACAAGCATTGGAAATGCTTTCATGTGGCTAAGCAGGAATTGGATAATCTACACACAGAACCATTTCTGAAAATAACTCCCTAACACTTGCCGTTAAAACTTCTTAGGAGGCTTTCTGCTTTTAATTGGTTAGAAAGTGCTATCTAAAGGCACATCTTTGCTTCCTGCGTTGTAAAGGCAAGGTTTAAAGCGTACCTGTGAGGCTGAGGATGCGATGTGGTGATGGTGCCAGAGTGTCCTTGAACTGGGGAGGAATCTGGGCTCTACCCGGCCATATCCTGTCCTCTCGGATGTGGCCCCTGTGGAAGGAACGAGCCTCCTAATTTACCCACTGAAACGATGTTTGAAATAAATGACTTTCTGTGTTAGGCATGAGGTTGTGATGTCTTCCTTCAGAGAGAATCCTCATTAATTTCACCTGGTCACTAGGCTAGAAGAAAGGACACAAATAACTTAACCGCTAACTTCACAGATTATGTAACGGTGTACCTTTGGAGTGCAGTTCAGTCTGTTTGCAAAAGGTGCCGGCAGCTCCAGGCGCTGGTCCAGAATGCATCCGGACACATCCTCGGTGACGAGACAAGGCGCGGTAGTCTGGAGCACCCAGATGCGCTCCCGGCTGAAGTTAAGACTGTCGCCTGATGGGAGGCTCTGCTGTGCGTAGCTGTAGGTCACAGCTTACTGCTGTATTTTTATGCCTGGAGAGCTCTAAAAATAACCCGGCTGCTTTTATTCTTCAGCTGTAACTTCCAGGCCATTTAGAAGCCAGGTCACTATCCCCTCTAATGAAAGCAGGAAAAATAGTTCAGGCTTGTCCCTTTGTAAAAAAATTACATCTGAGAAAGCTTGTTGTAATTCAGCAAACGAGGCACACGGTGCTGGCATGGGTCACATGTGAAGTACTTAGCAAAGGTTGCTTTCTGTGCTCATTTTGTGGTTCTTGCTATATAGTACTCAGGCTTGTCAATTTAGCAAGTTGAAATCCTGGAGAAAACGTAAACACTTAAGCAGATAACTTTAGACTATGCTTGAGAATCTCTTTAAAAACATGGTGATAAGGCAATAAGAGCTTAAGATCAGAAAAAAATAGAGACTGAGAACATACAAAGTTCAAAATTAAATTTCAGAATTCATTATGGAAAGCGCTGAAAGTGAACCACGAGGCCGACTGTCTGGGAGAATACTGCTGTGTCCTATCCCAGTGTCGTGTGTCCCTTGCTAAAGAGCGGGCAGGGTGTGAGAGGTCAGCTACTATCTAGCTCTCTGTTAGATGGCTGCATGGTGACCTTTCTTCTTATTACGTAAGTTCCTTCCGTTGCTTTCCCCTTCAGAGGAGCTGGGAAGAGTGGATGTTCTTTAATCAGGCCTGTGGGCGTGCACGGTCGTGAGTGCTGTGTGTGGGCGTCCTGCAGCTCGTGGCATGGACATGTCAGAGGAGATGTCAGGGCTCATGATCTTCAATGAGAAGCCTCTCACATCCCATTGTGTACGGTCCCATGAGAAGGAAAGGACTCCGTTATCGGGACAGAGATGTCCCGCCTGCTGGATTTTCTTTGAAAGAAGCTGAAATGAAGGCACAGCTTTTAAAGAACTTTCTCGGTAGCACTCCTGAAACGCTAACAGCAAGGTTAGAATATGCTGAGGGTGGATGTAAAGCTGGTCTCCCTTCAGGACCTCTGCACTGGGCACCTGCCGTCCGCATGGCTCTGTTTCACCCCACCCCGGGCTGGAGCCGTGTTCACCTCTGACCCTCCGGCTTGGGGCCACCTAGCAGTGTCTTCTGAGGTGCTGGCCTGTTCTCTTCTCCGTGTCACCACACTGTAATTCTCTTTTCAGGGGCCAGCTCAAGTACCAACTCCATTTTTTTTTTTTTTTGGTCTGAAGGAAAATACCACCTTTTTACTCCTTGGCCTCACTGTCTCTTTGGACTCTGCCTTCCTTTCTCTTACAGCTGAACTACAGAGGCTGAGCTGTGTTCTTGCGCCTCTTATGGCCTCTGTTCCTCATCCCTTCCGTTGTTGACATCCCACTCTGTCCCATTCTGTGATTGCCTGCTTTCAGTCTGGGCAGTGGACTGGTTAGGGGCTGGGGACACAGCAGTGCAGCAGACACACCCAGTACAGTCTCTGCCCTCAAGGACCAGCCTTCTATTGAAAAGACAAAACAAGTCAGGAACTGTTCAGTAAGATCGTCATGGGTTATTTGGAACCCTGATGGTGCAGTGGTTAAAGCGCTTGGCTGCTAACCAAAAGGTTAGAGATTCAAACCCACCAAATCTTCATGGAGGAAAGATGTGGCAGTCAGCTTCCATGAAGAATGACAGCCTTGGAAACTCTCTGGGGGCAGTTCTGCTCTGTCCTCTAGGGGTGGTACAAGTCAGAATCAACTCACAGCCTGTCCTCCTGCAGCCGCAGCTCCTCCAATGGGAGAGAATGGTCTCTTCTTCAGAGTTTCAGGCTCTTGCTGGCCTCAGTGCCCGGTGCTGCTGCCGCCACCCTTGCCCTCGTATTGCTTGTGGGTTATGGCATGAGGATGAAGAAAGGAGAAAATAAGAACTAGGGCTTGCCCCACTTTGAGTGGTAGGAGACCCCTTTCCTGACCCAAGGGCTTCCCTGGAGCTCTCTGCAGCCTCACTTCTGGATTTGCACTCTTTACAGAATGCAGAACCACCTCTGGACTTGGACTCGGTCTGCAGGGTCCACTTCTGGATTTGGACTACGTGGTGCTTAGGTCAGGAAACACCAGAAGAAGAAAAAGAATCCTGGTCGTCTTCCCCATCTACCTCCCCACGCACTTTCCAGCCCCTCTGGCTGCTCAGGCATCCGTTCTTGGTTTGCAGCCTCCTGTGTGGTGGGCTTGCTTGATCTTCCATGAGCCTGACCCTTGGATCATTCTTGATGCTTCTTTTCCAAAGCCCAGGTCTAATGTCAGCTTGTTCTGTGGGCTCTACACTTCCCCTGCCGCCACTCATGTCACGTGGCTGTCTGCCCTCTCCCCTCTTCAGACTGACCCTAAAGGAGTCTTATAGCATTCTTTCTCAAAACCCATCTCAGAGTGGAAGTCAGGCTCCCTGCAGTGGTCCCTGGTTCTGCCCCTGCCTTTCTGGCCACCCATCTCCCATTCCCTTGCTGGCACCTTTGTGGAGCCATACTGGCCTACTGTTTTCCCTTGAACTTGCCCGGCACATCCTGCCACAGGGTTCTGCATTTTTGTTTCTCTGACAAAATGCCTTCCCCTGGGGCTGCTGCGTGGCTGCTGCTGCTTCTTCTTCTTCTTCTTTTTTTTTTTTAAGATTTGGGGCAATCTACTTCTATAGAGCTACCACCTGGAAAACCCGGGGGAGGGGGTCTCGCTATGAGTTGGGACCGATTGGATGGCAGTGAGTTGTTTTTTTTTTTTTTTTTGCATGGCTTCTTTAGATTGATGCTTGCATGCCACCTTGTCCCCTTTTTAACATTGTAGCCCCCTTGTCCCACATCTGTCCCTGGCTTCATTTTCCTGTGCGCTTACCACTGTCTGAAATACTGCCTGCATTTCTACTTTCTTTCTCTCCCCAGCTGGCCTGTTGGCTCCAGGAGGGCAATCTCTTTGCTAATTGCTTCGTTCCCAGTGCTTAGAGCAGTGCTGGACGGGGAGTCAGACCACAGTCGCTCACTTGGTGACTCAATTCATGAGCATCCATCAGGCAAACAGTCACCAAAAGAATAGTGACACCATTGTTAACATCAGGCAAAAGGGGACTTTAATACAAAAAACATCTTATTTTTCCATAAAGAGAAATGGAGTTCTGATACATGCAGTAACAGGATGAGCTATGAAGACACTGTGTCGGTGAAGTCAGTCAGACCCAAAAGGGTGAGTGTTGCATGGTCTCCCTTATGTGAAATGTCTAGACAAGGCAGATGTGTAGAGACCAGAGTTTATTGGTGGTGACCAGAGTGGGCCAATAAGCAACATCCTAATAAATGGAGAAAAGATTGAAGCTGTCAAGGATTTCATGTTACTTGGATCCACAGTCACTGCCCATGGAAGCAGCAGTCAAGAAATCAACCAGTATATTGCATTGGGCAAATTTGCTGCAAGAGATCTCTTTAAAGTGTTAAAGAACAAAGATATCTCCTTGAGGACTAAGGTGCACCTGACCCAAGCCATGGTATTTTCAGTTGCCTCATAAGCATGTGAAAACTGGGCAATGAATAAGGAAGACCAAAGAAAAATTGATACCTTTGTGTTACGGTGTTGGTGAAGAATATTGAATATACCCTCGGCTGCCAGAAGAATGACTAAATCTTTTGGATGAAGTACAGCCAGAATTCTAAGAAGTGAGGATGACGAGACTGCATCTCGTGTACTTTGGACATGTTATCATGAGGGACCCGTCCTTGGAGAAGGGCATCATGCTTGGTAAAATAGGCTCGGTGAAAAAGAGAGGTCCCTCAGTGAGAGCGACTGACACAGCAGTGGTTCAAACGTAGCAACGATCGTGAGGATGGTGCAGGACCAGGCAGGGTTTTGTTCTGTGGTCCATGAGGTCACTATGAGTTGGAAACCACTGCTTGGCGCCTAACAACAACAGGTGGGTGGGAAGGGGAAACAGGGAGTTACTGCTTAAGGGGTACTGAGTATCTGATGAAAAATTGAGTATGTGCAGTGGTGATGGTTGTGCAACATGATGGATGTAATTAAACTGAATTATACAATGGAGATAGTTGGAATGGCAAAAGTTACTTATATCTTACTTACCACATTAAAAATTTCAGAAAAGTATTTTATTAAAATGAGTTAAATTTCAGGAATCAGTATGGTACCCCCTTTACTTTTGCAGCAATGTATTTAAGTTAGACGTTGATAAAAATTAACATATTGTGTAATTGTTCCGTGCTGTGGTTGCCCACTCTTCTCACTCAGCGTTTCAGCCACCTTTCCCTGCTGTTGTGAGTAGAGCTGTGGCATTCTTTTAAATGCTGTATAACCAGCCCTAGTCCAGATACACCAGTGTTGTCCCTCTTCTGTTGGACTTTTTTTTTTTCAGGTTTTCATTGTTGTTAAAAACCAAACC